AAAACCGCAGATTCGTTCCTTTGTGTAGATGTCTAGACAAAAGAGTGACATCTGTTCTAGCCAAAATCCTAGACAATCTACCAATCACTTCAAAATATGCATGTGAGCTTAGTGCTGCCAAACATTTGAAGAGAGATGAATCTAGATATCGATGATGATATTGTTTTATTCCCCTGATATCAATAGCAATGGTATGATATGCCTTGACATATTGAAAGTATGTATTGCCCTGCATCTTTAGTTAAGAGTGTTTACCACTTCAGTGTCCGGTTAAGGTAGACAATCTCTTGCTCAGGTCCACCTGCATGTCATTTTATTTTTAGAGACATCATGAGAATTATAAACCTTTATAAGCTTGCTTAGTCCCTGGTCTCCAGTCTCCAACATTCAGAAGATCTGCATCTTTTATAATCTCGTGACTTAATAGTTTATCTACTAAACCATATTTTTAGAAATGAACAGATAAATTCACAGATAAATCCATCACTAAATGCTACTACGTATTAAGTAGATTATATTTTTTATTTCAAGTTTCACTCCATTCACTTGGTCGCCGCAAAAGAGAAGCAAAGGGGAAAAGGCATTAGTGAAAATCCAAGAAGAAACTTTTCCTAATAATAGAGAAATCTTTCTTACCAAAATTATTTAATCCTAAACAAAAATGATAAGATCACTTCTGGAAGTCAAAGACAAAACATTTGATTCATTAAAAACAGCTTTTACTATAATGCATCCCTTAGGTGAAAGATGACTTGGAAAAAGACAGGCAAAAAGTATAATTCAAGCATCTCTTTTTGTCTGTCTTGTTCTCTTAGTGCTTGTAGTGTGTGTGCTACTTCTTTTCACTGAGCATAACAGCAATACAACCTTCAAAGTCTTGAGAGATTGGGTTTTAGGAGATGAGGGTAACAATTTTAATGAGAATAATCCAAGAAAACTCCTATATTCCCTACATAGCCATTTCTTTTAAAACCCATGTGTTAACTTTAGTTAAACATCATCTTTCACGAAATACAGTATAATTGCATTACTGCAAAAAAAAATCCTAAAACCTGTAAGTTGATACCTACATGTTTTTCCATGCCAAAATCTGCAAGCTTGATCTCACCATTGCTACAGATCTACTAATATATTTGATCCTCTAATATCCCTGTAGAAAAGCCATGATTTTGCTTATTTTGGAGAAACATAATTTGGTCAGTGTTACACTGATGTCAAGTGATTACCTATGCACAATGTTTCTTGCATGCATATAGGCCAGGCCAAATCAAATTTGCCTAGCATAATGTTAAATAACAGCCTCCTTAAAGGATCCAAAGTCTTGCAACAATTTGTGGATGGAACCCCCATAAACATGCTCCAAGTAAACCGAGAGTGTTTCTTCACCCTAGAGACAAATTACAAATACATGTTATGTGAAAGGACCAGCACGGCAAATTGGCAATCATACAAAATGAATCTGACTGTACAATTCTCTACTCTTGTGCGACTATTATCCACATACCAGTTCACTTCCATAAGATTGAACAATGTTTGGATGTGAAAATGACTAAGCAATGCGATTTCCTAGAAGATTTTTCAAAAATGCATTTGAAAATAATGAAACGCTATAGAAGTTTGAAGGACCAAAGGATTTCAAAAAAGCATAATGAGATAAATCAGGCAAGTCATCAAAGGGAATAAGTCAAACCTGGTTCAATTGCTTGAGACACTCTTTGCAGATTCGTAGGGGTGAACTACACAAAGTTTGTGTGGTGCGAAAGACAGGGAAAGTGATAAAAGGAACGTACGATTGAAAGAAAGAAATGTATGATTGAAAGAAAGAATTACTAAAAGAAAGGGGTTTCTCGTAGCTAACCAACCCTTTAAAGAAGGTAGTAAATGAATTTGTGGGTGAAAGAGAACAACGATTAAATGCAGAAAGAGAAGCGGGAAAGTGTAGGGAGAGGGATTCTCCCTTGAGGTATATAAGATAAGATATGATTTAGTTTTGCTCAATATTTATGATAGCAAACCCACAAGCCAGGAGTTCTTCCTATTGCTAATCTATTAAAGCTTCTTCTTCTCCTTTTAATATCACTTTTTGCTTCCTTTTCTTTGAATTTCTGTAAATCTAGGCTGTAGGTATAGACCACCAATTGGGCGACCATCATCCATGTTGACGCTAAGATATCAGAAAATCAAGTGTGTAAGCCATCAGTTGCAGATTGTCCCAAACAGCAAGAAGTATTATCCACATCAAGGGGATCAAAATCCTTGAAGCCGACTGCTTAATGACAGGAGCAACATGCATTCTTTTAATCAAGTAATATATATTAAAAACTAATTACTTGACCTTTTTTATCATTTCTCTAAAATTTTGCATTCCAAACACAACATAAAACCTTGAAAGACTCATAGAAACTCATTCTAAGGGTGTTGACGGCGAAGTTACCTTTGAATATTTACCTATTGAGTCTGTAACAGTGCAATCAATCAAACGGATTTTACTACATAATTAATCCCCTCTGTATGACAACATTAGCAGTTTCCCCATTTTCCGAATTCAAAAAATCAAAATACAGTACTACAATTAAATATATTATGGCGCATACTTCACATATAAAAGTATAAAACAGTCTAGTGAGCACATCTCATCTGTCGACACAGTAAGAGTGGAACTTTTACCACCAATGACAAAAACTTTGAAGCCGTCCCATGTAAACTTCAGGAACTTCTTAAACTAACTATTACTGTCTGTTCAAGAAATCTAGCCGAGTTGTTTTTCATGTAAAAAACTCACAAGTTAAGATGACATGGAAGCACTCTACATAGGCTAGCAAAATCATAAATGTAATTGGCCAATACCAATAAATTATGGGCATGATGTACATATAAATTTGATCTCCAGTCCTTCACTTTTCAATTTTTCTTTAGACCCATCGAGGCGGCTGCTACATGCATTAAAAGACAAAAATAGAGATCAAGTATAAAAGGCATATAAATAAAAGTTTCCAAATTACAATCAATTTGCAAATTTTTTGCAGATATTAAAACATCTAGTATTAACATAAAATATATTTCCAAAATAATAATCACACATAGATTGCTTGTCCACATTCTGAAAACTTGCTATATGAAAATGTATTCACATTTTTTATCGAACCACAGTACCACACATAGATTGCTCAGCTTGCTATAAGAAAACTTTCATAAAAAATATAAAGTGGCTAAATATATAAAAAAAAACAATACTCCAAGAAGAGAAGTTATAACAATGGAGTATGATATAACTATAACAAAAATACATTAGAGTCCAAACTAAATTCAGATAAGATAGTATTATTAAGTCATCTGCATTACTTTATTCAAATATCAAATTCCAAGAAGAGAAGCAACAGATTATAGAAAAGGAGACATTGAATGTTAAAAGAAGAAGAAGAGCATCATACAAAAAAAAATCACAATCATAATCATTCACCATCACTGGTTTGATGACTCTACTACAGGAAAATGTAATTGAATCATAATCATACCCCCCAAAACTAAATATATAAAAACGGTTTGTAGACAAATTACTCCATTCAAAGAAAATTGACAACACAAATAGATATGGAGTAAATTACTTACGGAATAAGTATACAATATCTCTACTCGTTCTTCCCAGCATATAAAACTAATTGTAGGAACAAATATTTGATTGAGGAATTTTATCAAACACCTTCTCTACAAAAATGTAACAACACTCTAAATGAGACCGAGTATATCTAGCAAATTGGAACCGGTTTAAAATAAAAGATGAAGTGTATAAATGAGAAGAATAGTTTACCTCCAAGTCATTTAGAATCGGATGGATCTCGGCTTGGATGATTCCAGAAGAAGAACAAATGTGAAGGAATAGCCATCTCCTTCTTCGGATGATTCCCAAACAGATGACTCCATGTAGATGACTTCGTCTAAATGAATTGTCATATACTTTTTTCGGATAACTTCTGGGCAGATGACTCATCTTCTTTTTCGATGACAACTACACCTTGTGAGGAGCTCCGATTTGCGAAGAAGAAAGATCGAAGAAAAAAACGGAAGAAATAGAGTAGAAGAAACTGGTGCAAAAAGAGTCGGGGAAAAGGGAAATGTAAGCCGTTGATTAGGCTTATATGAGAATTGGACGGATGTTAATAAAAGGTGCAGTGAGCGAGAATTCTTTTTCTGGGATTGTAGTGCTATTAAGGAGAGGATTTTCACATCCTTTCACAAAACTGTAACACGTTCGTTTCTATTGTAGAATTTGATATGATGGGCGCCGATCCTATTAGATCATGTGACCGAAGCTTGTTATATACTACTACCTTCGTCCCACTATGATTGGGACAATTCGGTTTATGATGCTTGACCGACGATAAAGCAAACAAGTCTTTGTCTGCACTCAAATTATTTTTAGAAAAAAGAATTTCATATTTAGAAACTACATTAAAAACTTTACAAAGTCGCAAAAACCAGAATCAAATTTGATAAAATTTTGATATATAAAATAAAAGATTAAAAGTGATTTGTGTTGACCAAGTGAATAGTGTCTTGGACAATCTTAGCGGGGATGGAGGGAGTTTATAACTTTTGAAGGCCGAAGGATGACCTGACCGCCTTCAGTTATGTCACGGATCCGGCGTCGTTTCGTACGTGTTCGCCATTTACTTGTTCAGAAAAACCAACGGGGCTGGCACACTGGCACCTATCACTCTATCAGAGGGGAGACCGCCAGTTTCCTCCCCATAAAACGAAAGTAATTTGCTCCTTTTGATGTCTGTTATTGACTTGGAATGGCTGGTTTTTAGCCCCCTTTACCTTTTGACCTCGTTTCTTCGTTCTTGACCGTCTTTATCATGTCTAGCTCAATTTGGGATTATTATTTGTTCTCTGCACACAAAAATCTGTAGATAAATATTTTTATATTCCGTACTTCATTCTTATAAAGTTGTAGCAAATGAATTTTCACATTTCACACACATATTAATTGATTCAATTAAAATTCATAGAACAATCATAATACAAATCGATTTTAAGTGGAGACAAACATTACAAGTACATAATTAACACAAGCATTTATTTAACAACTTTCATTTTCATCACATATCATCTTCTGAAGCAAATAATGTCAAAAACTCCACTAGATTTGTGCATCTATGCATTATGCATGCAAAATTGCAAGCCCCACATCAATATCTGCATGGCTTGCTCTGTTTTATACACTAGTATTATGAATACACATTTACACCAACACAATCCAGTGAATTTCCTATTTTAGCCTTCACTCCAGACGTTCTATTTTGTCGTTCCATGTTTTGCACTGGTCAGTCGGCCTCGACTTCACATTCCCGGCTTTCAACGGGCAAGCGGTTGCTACCGGCGGAACCATACAGTTATAAACCAAACACAAAGTTACGTTCGCCGGAATAGTGTCCGCCGCATTTATGGGGATTCCGGTGAGGAAGTTATGCTGCAAGTAGAGAAAAAGTATCTTACCTGAAAGAATCCCGTCCACGAATTCATTCGGGACCTCACCCATGAATCGGTTATTGTTGAGGTACAATTCCTCTACCTGGGAAAACAGAGGAGATATTTCACCGTACAAACCGTTGTAGCTGAGGTCAACGGTGGGGATGTTCACCGGCGGGGAAGACGGTAAGAGTAAGACATTCCCGGAGAAATAGTTTCGGTTAAGTCGAAGACTTCCGGTGATTGGGAAACTGAAGACTTCCGGTGGGATTTCGCCGGTGAACTGGTTGAAGCTGAGATCGAGAAAGCTCAAAGCGGTCAAACCGGAAAGAGTCCGGTTCACAGGTCCATTCAGCCGATTCCATGATAAAGAGAGGTATTGAAGCGATGGAGGGAAAGCATTGGGCGGGAGAGGACCGGAAAGATGGTTGTGGTCGAGATTAAGCCGGAACAGAGCAGCGGAGGCGAAAGCAGGGACCGGACCGGACAGATCGTTGTGATTAAGAATGACGTTTTTCAGCGCCGGCAGTGATCCTATTGCCGGAGGAATGTTCCCGTTGATCTGATTGCTGCTGAGGTCAAGCGTCTCTAGCACCCTGAGCTGACCGAGAGACGCCGGAATCTGCCCGGAGATATAGTTTCTGGTGACTGCAAGAAACCTGAGGTTGACTAATCGCGAGAGACTTTCCGGCAATGCACCGTATACCTTCCCGGGCATCACCGTAAAGTTTCAAGGCTAGATAAATTGCCAATAGCCGGGTCAAGCCGACCCGTCAAACCAGGCGACCCGACGCTCTGTTCACCGAGATTTAACGCAAAGACCTTAATATAGCCGTTGCCGGCGTTTTGGCAATAAACGCCGGTGAAACTGCAGGGATCGAAAGCATTAAAATCCCATGTACTAAAAAAGTTGGAGCCTGGCACATCAGACAATTGAGTCGAGATTCCCGTTCGCGAAGAAAGATGAATGAAGAAGAATGCTCAGAAAAGCAATAGACTCATCACCGCCGTCATGCCGCCACAATCAGTTCCGGAGTATTTATTTGTTAATCCCGGATTATTTGAGATATGGGGCCGGCCAGGTAAAAAATTGTTACTTAAGGAGTGGTTGAATAGAACGGAGACTATGGCTCTGTTCGGAAAGGATTGTGCTTAAATAAAAGCACTTTTGGGAAAAAAGTGATTAGTAGTAAGAGTTGGTAGTGTTTGGTAAAATAAGTGTTTTTTGTGTAATAGAAAAAGTAAAAAGGAGATTCTGCACGAAAACCGAGAAAGTAAAAGTTGGTATTGTTTGGTAAAATAATTGTTTTTTTCTTAAAAAAAAGCCAAAAACACTTAAATTAATTGTTTGCAAACAAAGTCATGACTTCCAAAGCAAACATTAGTACTCCGTATAATTAAATACTCCGTAGATTATACGTCGTAAAAAATAGATTCACCCACTGCCCCGCCACCATGAGATGATGAGACTATGAGATGACAATAACGCCACCAAAATTATACGAGTGCAACAAAATTAGAAGGGCAATTAATTATGAGGCCGTTTAGAACCACTGTTTTTCAATTTATCAGACAACTTTTTCATCAAACACGTAATTTTTGCTTTCGCACGTTGAATTGTGTAATAAGCAGAAAAAGTAAGGTTGGAGTTACTTTTCTGACTGTATTGGCTGAAGTTACTGTAGATGACCATTTTAGCTATTTTTACATATAATATTTTCTTTATTTTATTAATAAAATATATTTTTGAAATAGTTTTTTTCTAAATCAGCAGAATCAGCCAATGCAGCCACTTCAGTCAGAACTTCATAAATTTCAACAGAATCAGCCAAAACAGTTGATTTTCGTGCTACCAAACGGGCTCATATTACTATTACGAAAAAATTTGGAACAAAAATCCTATTTGGGTGGGGGATATCTAATCGGATTTAGGAATTGAAACAACAATTACTCCTATTCAGAACCATATATCAGTAATGGTTGTGAAAATGGGATATAAAATCAAATAATAATCCAAAACAAGGAATGTCAAATCCAATTTCCCCAAATTAAGAATAGCTCACACCTATTTGTTTACTTATTTAGTTTACGTTCTAACAATATGACACCCCGTTTTTTAGATAAATTATTTGGCTTTGATCATGGACACAAGTACACAACGAACAAAGAGTGGGATTTTACTCCAAATTTTTTACTCAAATTGAATGTGACACTTCTTCCTTATGTCACCTTCTTTCGAACGGTTGAGCTATGCCCCGAGAATACTAAGCTTTCTATTCAGTCCAGAGCATCTCATAGTCCTGAATCTGCCCTGTTTGTAGACATTATATTTGGTGTACAATTAATTTGGATATATTTATACATGTTTGGTGCTCACACTCAAAAAGTGGGGATTAGTCAGGAAAAAATGCCGGAAATTATGGTTAAGTAGATTTTTCATTGGGACTAAAGTAGTGAGCAAACCATTGTCGACAGCCTACTTGAAGGGAAAACTATAGAAGTCTTACGGACGACTCGAAAAAGACAAAACAAAGGGATAAAAAGGATGTAGAATATAGTATGTTTCAAATTAGATTGTTTATGATACCACAAGTGAGTTTAGTGCGTAAAGTAGAGCCATTTTTGGCATATCGCTCTAGCCGTCTCATTTTGTAACATAGACTTAAATATTTGAATTGTTTAAATAATACGAACAATTTTGTCACAATTTTCCCCCAACTTAACTCTATATATCATTTCATTTTTACTTTTTGTAAGTTTATCTTTATTTTCTTAAAATCCAAATTCAAATACAAATCAATCTTTATGTTGTGTTTGTACACCTTTTAATGCACACTTTGTTACATCCCATTGTGTGCACGGAAATTCGTCTAAAATGCAAACTCTATGTATGGGGATGTTTGTATTTCGGTGGTTGGTAGGCAACAGGGCCGGTCCCGAAAAAATGTAGAACCTGTGCGATAATAAAATTTGGGCTTTTTTTCAAGTTGCGACACAAGCAAATTGTCTTAAAATACAACTTACGAATAAATGTAATGATAAAAATAGTCATTAATAACTTACAATTTATTTAAAAAGGGACATTCTTCAACCATATTTAGATCTACGCAGGGGGATTTTGGGCTGGGGCTTAATACTAATTTTTTTTGGGCCCTTCAAAAATCCGGGCCCTGTGCGGTCGCACTGGGCAGCCATGCCCTGGGCCGGCCCTGGTAGGCAACACGGTGCACAATGAACATTTGCTATTAGAAAGAGGGAATTTGACTTTGCATCATTGCATTTCACTTTTTGGATTATATTGGACTTTACACCTTATTTTGAAAAAAAATTGGGTTTGCACCTCACTTCACTTCAAAATCTTTTGAATTTGCATCTCATTTAGAAAATTTCATTCACAAATGTTATATGATAGGGTGCAAAGTCAAAGATTTTATGAAATGGGATGCAAAGTCTAATATTACCAAAAAATAGGATACAAAGTTAAAAAAATGACGTTTGGGATAAGAAAGCTATTATCCAAAAACCCCTAAATGTACATATAGATAAAATAAAAACGTAGTACTCGTCCAAAAAATACGGAACATTTGATCAAAGTCGCTCGACTAAAAAATTATAAAAAAAAGGCTAAAAGGTCAAATAGGTACATGAACTAACTTAAAGTGTTCAATTAGCCCCTTATATAGGAGGTTCAGCCCGGCCATCACCAATTGGGGAGTTTCCCGGTTGAATTTTTTGATGAATTTTTTTGAGCATCTTCTTCATTAAGTCTAGTTTACCCATACCAAATTTCAGCTAAAAATTCAACCGGGAAGGCAGTCAAATGATTTTCCGAAATGTATTGCGCTGTTTAACTGCGCAGTTATCTTCAAAAAATCATTTGACTGCCTTCCCGATTGAATTTTTAGCTGAAATTTGGTATGGGTAAACTAGACTTAATCAAGAAGATGTTCAAAAAAATTCATCAAAAAATTCCACCGGGAACCGCCCCAATTGGCGACGGTCGGGCAGAACCTCCTATATAAGGGGCTAATTGAACACTTTAAGTTAGTTCATGTACCTATTTGACCCTTTAGCCTAAAAAAAATACTAATAACTGTTTCTATTTGTCACAAAATCACAGTGACATCTCAGGGGTTCCACTAATGTATTGCCCTAACAGGTTGTGCTAATTGGGCGTGACATGTTATGGTTAACTTTAATTAGAATTGGGTAAGTTAAAATTAATTAATCATACATGCCTATTTATTTGAGAAATCATTCTGGATGGCTTCTACAATTTTACCCTCGGCACGAGTTGATCTCATTCCCTGATCCTTTTATAAGGCATTACGGAGTATTAGCTAAACGAAAAGATTTAAGGGGTGTTTGGCAATTGGCTGTTGGCGGTTGGCTGTTGGCCGATTATATTGGCTGATTGGTAACAGCGGATTCTGTTGGCTGTTTTGATTAGCTGATAATATTAGCTGTTTATAAAATAGTGTTTGATTATTCGATTGTTTACAATTGGCTGATAAATCGTTAAATTACTTTTAAGGACATCAAACAATTTGTTTTGTTTACTACCTACTTTTATATTACGTATATGTTTAACACATTTTGCTAAAATTATTAATACCACTTCTTAATTCGTTTTTATTTAAAAATAAATAATAAATTTGTTTAAGGCATGATTTTATCATTTGTCTGGCCTTGGAACATGATAAAGAGGGTGGCTATGACAATCCTTTTTGCCATCCCCTTCAAGTGTTTATGAAAATGGCTCTACCTATTCTCTTTTTTCCGCATAAGATATGGAATAGGAGCATAAGATATGGAAAAGGGGAAGTGCCTAATGAGAAAAGAAGGGTGGTAGTGTGGACAGAATAGGAACATCAGATAAATATCGAAACAGCCAAGTCCAAAACGCTCCATTCTTTAGCTTTTCAAATTTTGGTTGTTTGGAATAAAAAGCCAAATCAAAAAGCCAAGTAACCAAACACCTCAATTAGTTGTTTATCTGGTCAAAAAGCTAAATGATGGTCAAATCAGCCAAAAAATGGCTGATAGCCTCCTAACCAAACACCCCCTATGAATCCTCTCAAGACGTTAAATTATTTCTGCTAATTAATTTTTGCAGTGAAATGTTTGAAGTACAAGATCAACATCCAAGTAGTTCATAGGCCTTTTGGCCGGAATATTACTAATTAAAAATAACATAAAAGACAAAAAAGTGACATGTTTTAGAAAATTCCAAATATGTGACCAACATCACAACTAACCCTGCAATGCAAAGTGACTCCGTCACCACAGTGACTGCCGCACCGGCCATAGTGACTGCCCCACCGGTCATAGTGACTGCCCCATCGGCCATAGTGACTCTGCTGCCACAGTGACTCTGACCATCGTGACTGCCCGCCTACCGGCCACAATGACTACCCATCCACCGGTCACAGTGACTCCGGTCAGACTGCCCGCCCACAGTTACTCAGCCACAGTGACACGCAACATTGACGATACCACCACCGCCACCCCGACAGCCCCAACTCTAACTCAACTACCCAGTCCCCCTCCCAGCCCTCAGCCACCTCCCAATCCAACAAGACTGCCCGCCACCCCACTGGCACTTCCATCCCGCAGCCACTACCGCCGTCTGCCCATAGACCGCCCATTTTCCCTGCCCCTCCCCATCCCCATGCCCCACCAGCACCCCAAACTCAAGCCCAAGCCCCTGCCCTATTCCAAACTACCCTGCAAGCCCATCAACGCCGTTCAACACCACAAGCCTCCAACATTCAGCCCCAACCCCAATCATCACTCCCCTGACCCTAGCCTACAACCTCTAGCGCATCTCCACCATCTTAAATCTTGTCGTTGCTCAACCACCAGCCAACAGTCCCAACTCTTAACCCTAAATTTGGGTCGCTGCCGACGATTGCTAGCAAATTTCCACCGTCGGAGCATGAGGAAACCATGGAACTTGGCCGCCGCAACTTTCACATGAGATGTGGAAAACTGAATAGGAAGAGTGGAAGCGGGCGGAGATCTGGAGGCCGACAGAGGGGGCGACCGCGAAGGTGGAGCAGATATGACCTGGAGGCAGTGGCGGTATGATGTGATGGCCGATGGAAAAGATGAAGAGAAGAAAGATCAACTTCCCTGCTCGATTGAGAAGACGTAGGTTGAGCTCGATAGAAAAGACACGAAGCAGAAGCGTTTGTTTAGCGTGTAGGGATGGGGCAAGTCATATTTTTGGAATTATTAAAATGAGTTATGTTTTTGTCTTTTAAAAGTCTAAGAGTCACATCTGAGTCATTATTTCTTGTATTAATGCTAAAACAAGTTAATGTTTAATATATATGCAATGCATTCTTTTTAAAATGTAAAAAGTAAATGACTTGTGTAATTTAATGTCAACAAACACTTACATTTTGTGTAACTAGTGTGTCTAGTATTTAACATTGTTTGATATTTGATGGTACCATGGACTCGGACCATGGCCCAATTACAAGATTATAATAAAACCTCATAACGGGATCAGTCCTCCACGGGATCAGCCTATAAACAGGATTAGCCCATAACAGGATCAAGCCCTAAACGGGATTAATAATGATTAGCCACTGAGCCTAAGTAGAAATCAAGCCCACGATATGAACCCACAACCAGGCCAGGCTGGACGGCATACCTCGAGCCTGAGCGGAGTTCTAGTGAGGCCAGGATATTCCTAGGGCTTACGTGGCAGGCTATCATTCAAGCATAGCTATCTGGCAGCAAGCAAGAATGAACAGAAGAACGTGGATTTAAAGAAGATAATCATTGCACAACGTCCAAGACGTTAGAGGAGTCCTATTCGACTAATATGTGATTAATTACATTTGTTGTATCAATTTCCTCCTAGAATACTAGCTCCTAGAGTCTATAAATACCTCATGTATATTTCTTATGAAGGGACCAAATTCCGGATTAATAATACTGTCTTACGCTGCCTAAATTTCATCTGCTCTTGTAGATATAGCTCTCGTAGTTGGATTAAACTCCATCAATATTTTACAATATCGAGAACTTCAAATCTAGTAAAGATATTTAAACATTACAAAATTAGGAATTTTTATATAATAAGTATTAAACAATGAGTTGATATATTGTTCATTTGTTTAATTTGTGTAAATTGTTTTAGATATTGTTTCTTTTAAATCTCCAATTAAGTACTACCCCCGTCCCCCTAAGTTTGGGATAAGAGAAGGTGACACGATTTTTAATAAAAGTGGGTTTATGTGGTTGATATTGAATTGATAAAGTAAGAATAAAGTAGGAATGATTTAGAACCACCCAAACTTTACCAAATAAGGTATGGGACAATCTTAGTGGGACGGACCGAAATGGTAAAATGGGACAATCATAGCAGGACAGAGGGAGTATTACATTATGTATGGCTATATATTAATTTTAAAATTAAAATTTAAGAGGGACGAACACATATGTATCTTATTAAAGTATGAAAAATTTATGAAAAATACTCCGTATTATATATATATAATAGAAATTTTGAAAGTTTAAGGGGGCAGTCCCCCGCCCCCGCCCCCGCCCCCTAAATCCATCCCCGAGCCTTATGAGTCTACTTTTACTCGGGAAGGAATTTTAAGCAATTAGTCAAAGATTCTCGTTATTTAGACAAAAAGTAACTTTTGAATACAATGAAAAGCACTTTATTGCTATGGAAATAACGAAATATCGATGCTTTAGGAAAACAAGCAAGCTTGTCCATTGTCCATCGATTTCTTTTCTTCGTTCTACTTGCTTTCGTTTTCTTTACTCAAATTCTTTCTCAATTTGTTTGTTTTTGAACCTTGATTGTTTTAGTTTTACATTTTTCTTCTACTATTGTTCTACTTGTGCTGTTCACTTGTTCTACATTTTTCTTTACTGCTATATAACTTTTTTCTACTGATCATTGTTGCATGTCCTAAAAATTCTTCTTGTTTCCCTGTAAGAAATTAGTTGTGCGGTAAACATTCATACATCATTTTCAATCAAATTCATAATCATACTTTCCACTTTATTTTCATTTGACTATTAAGCATTTGAAATCAAATGAAGAATTCTTAGGTGACAGATAGTGTCGGTTTTAAGCCAATATGCTGGATGCAAATAAGAAAAGAGCTCACAAACTAGACGGATAGGAAGTATGTTAATGTTTTACATATGAATATCAACGAATCCAATTTTGAAAAGAGCTCACAAACTAGACGGATACTAAGGGTCTGTTTGCAACAGCTTCTACTTTAAAAAAAGTGCTTATTTTAATGAAATGGGGAGAACTGATTAAATAAAAGTTGATAGTGTTTGAGAAAAAAGTGGTTTTGAAAAATAAAAATTGATAGTGTTTGGTAAAATAAGTGTTTTTTGTGTAATAGAAAAAGTAAAAGTACTTTTGACACGAAAGCCGAGAAAAATAAAAGCTATAGTGTTTGGTAAAAGAAGTGCTTTTTAAAGCCAAAAGTTGAGAAGTGTTTTTTTAAGTGGTTGCAAACCAACCCTAAGTATGTTAATGCTTTGCATATGTTAATGCTTTGCATATGAATGAATTCAATTGTTCATGGAGTACATGGATCCGGATCCACGGCCCACATACGCTTAGATACACAATGGCCCAAGTCCATGATACCATTTGGGCCTCTCAACCAAATACATCTATTGTCCATACCGGTCACCTCGATCAGGCTAATCCAGGGTTTCCAAACAGATCATTTAGGAGTATGAACAATACCAGATCTGAGGTGCATTTGTACCTTGACCAACATCACATCGCCCAACAGAAGATGCCTGACCAGAAGTCGGTTAAAGAATGACATGTGTCACACTCTACCACGCATCATGACCCTTGCCCATAGAATAGCCAATACGTATACGTGCATTTAATGCATCATTCATTTATTACTAGTATAAATACTCCATTTGGGACAGTTGTCAAAGATTTGAATCTCATTTAATACAAAGCACTCTCTCTCTCTCTCTCTCTACTTGTAGCTCTCTCCCTTCTCTCTACAATATTAAGACTTGGGGTTCCATCCTAAAAGGTCAACCTATTAGGAGGAGTAGCCCAAGGTTTTATATGTTGATTTGTATTTCTATACGCAACCTGTGTGAGACAACTTAATACGCATCCGCAAGATGGTGGCTCGTTGGAGCAGACCAGTCTTGTAATCGGTGTGCTCGTTGTGGAGGCTTACCAGGATCTAATTACTCATTGGAGCTTAATTTGCTCCGATATCATATAAAGATTTGGGGTTCCATCCTAAAAGGTCAACCTATTAAGAGAAATAGCTCAAGACTTTATATGTTGATTTTTATTTCTATACGCACGCACCCTTAATAACAATACAATGATTTGCGGTGAGCTATCGCTCATAAAAGGACGTCCAATCAATTCAATCTTTATAAGGATCAAATGAATCAAATTTAATTAATAAAAGAAGAAACTTTGGTAGCACAATTTATTAATAAATCAGAAAAGTTTGGTGGCACTTGAATATGAAATCATTGAATCTCAAATCAAATACCATAACTACATCGAACTTTTTGTTGATTCACTAAAGTTTATTTGGTTCACATATCATATTGAGTATTGAGATTCATCTTAAATCATTTTATAGAACTATTAGAAAATGCAAGAGGTGCACGGACAAGTTAGCACTAGACTTTAAGAATTCCAATGGGTATAAATTTGCCCCCTTGTATCAAGGAGGTTAAGTTTGTGTATTCGACTTTAAGTGCCATTAGAATTGTGTTTGGGTAAGGTTTTCTTTGCCATAGTAACATATGCATTTTAAAAATTGCATATTTGGTCAAAATATTTCATTTATAGTAACATATGCGTTTTAAAATTGCATATGAGATCAAAATATTTCATTTATAGATAATTTCAATTAAACGTTATAGATAATTTCAATTAAACGTTATACTTCGCTTGCACAATCTATCGCCTATGCAAAGTGAAATTATGTCGACTCCTCCAAAAACTAAACATATATTTTTTTTGGAAAAAAAACTAAACATCTATTGAGCTCAGGTAAAAAAACATTTAGGTAGTATAGTTGTATAGAGACTCTTTTTGAAGCAACATTTGAGCCTCGATGCTTCTCTTCTTCACTTGTATGATTTTCAAATCATTGCAAGCTTGAATGCTTCTTAATGGACGTAGACATTCAATTGAGAAGTCATGATTTGAGTTGGTAATACTAGAGTTAATTATACACTTTTATCCATCAAAACAGTATAGTATTCCTATAATTGAAAAACTAATCAAAATCTCCAAACCTTTAATTAAATTTGAGTTTAAATCAATCATAGAAATGTGGTATGTATCATCAAACATTCAAACCCAAAAGTTAAAATCAATCAAAATCTTAGAAATAAAAATATGATTGAAAAAATAAAACCTTTACTTAAACTTGAGTTTCCTTTTGTATTTTCCTAGGTAAACCCAAAGTTTATATAAAAAACGCTTCAAACAGTTCAAGGAATTCCTTACATTGCATTTTTCTTCTGTGAATCAAATTGGACAAAATCTGCCTACCAATACCCAAGTGGCATCTACAAGACTACAAAAAGCTCAGTCTCACAAAATGTGGGGGAAATGGAAAGAGGAGAATCCCTATGGGTAAACTACCTTCATGCCAATGGCAGGTATGATATATAGGGTTATGACTCTCATCTTTGCATTAAGCTTTCAAATCCATGTCACCCAATTTTTTTATGATGACCTTGAAGACAACCATCAAGCTATCAAATGATCCATATTGATTGTATTTGAACTTTCATCATCACCACCTACACTCTCATTTATGTTTATGTTTTCATTTTCATTATCAACATCAATATTACATTCTCAATAACATTAATTCAAAAAGAAGGATAACAACTCATCCATGTGGGGGAGAAATGATTTTTATTTAGTTACTTTATCTCTATTTCTTAGTCTTATACTAGAAAACTATATATGGGTTGTTGGATGTGCAATTCAATATATTTTTTTTCTTTCACTTTGTTTCTCCTTTTCTCCCATTCCAAAATCCATGACCAAAATAGCTCTAATGGCTTATTTGCTATTTACAATCACACTGGTGGTCTTTTTTCAGGTTCTGCATGAACAGATGGAAGACTTCAAACATTGAACATTTGGGTAAAGATAATCAAACTTAGACTGTTATAAATTTTAAGCAGATGCAAATTCTAAATTTTCAAGAATAACATATAACAAGATGTGATAATTTGGCACTTATACATTTCTACAATATACCATGGACCTAAGATCTCAGAATCATATAACAACAATTTGTAATGTAATATCTCATTTGGTGCCATCAAATATCACAGGACATAGAAACTCTGGATTCGAGTCAACGCATACATGACAAAACCGGTACCGTGCCACCGACGGCTGCGATCTGTTTCTCAAGCTGCAATTGATCAAAAGAGTTAAACATTATTAGAAGGAACCAACTCAAAGTTCTAGTGCAATATGTTATGTCCAAAAATTACAATATAGCTATGTACAGATTTGTTTCTTAGATTTTTCTTGCTCTATTTTTATGTAGCACACATCTATTGTGTGATGATAATAAAAAGATTTCAGAATAGAAAAACATAAAGTAAAAGGAACATGTCATTAAATGATATTTTTTGGGAGGGATAGAACTTGCATTTATTAAGGTTTGGAGCTTCTTTTTCACAAGTATATATTCACGGTTCAGCTGTTGGAGACATCTCATATATCTGCACCAAAAAAAGAAAAAATAATCATTAAATATTTGCCAAAAGCACACAAGCTCGTATATGCTCTGTTTTATTTTTTGCATCAAACTAGAATTTTGCAAAGTAGGTTTAATTTAAAAATGGGCTTTTCCATAAAAATTATTGAAACAAAGCATTGGTATGAAAATATCACTAGAATTGCTATGAATTTTCATCATGATTCATGAATATAACTATTAAAGTATAAAAACACAATTTTGTTCAATACTTCATACTCGTATATTTGTCATTAAAATAAAAACCATGAAAATGTATGTGTAGAATTAAACGGAAACTTACCCATCACGGCTCTTCTCCTCACAATAATTTCCAAAATAAATACATGCATTCTTTACTCTTTGTGCACCTATGCTGAGGACCATAAAAGCATGGAATAATAATCAATGGAACAGCTTAAAATGAAGAATTTCAAACAGGGCCCACTAAGACATCAATATTGCATTAATTTTTTAGAGAAGATTTACCGAATACAAATAAAATATAGGAAGTTTTTTCAAATGAGTACCATATTTTATTGCCAAAGTAGTATTTTATGCATTTCTACTTGGGAAAGTTTTTGGCATTAAAAGTTACAAGCGGAGAAAGGGCGTTTGAATATGTTTCCACTTTGTTTAATACTACCTCCGTCCCATAGTCCCATTTTATGTGTCTCGATTTTGAAACAAATTTTTAATAAAGTGATTGAAAAGGTAAAAGTTGTAATTGATATTTGAGTATAACAAAAAGTGAAATGTTGTAAACCATGTATTTCTTTCCAAAAAGGGAAAAATGACACTTATCTTGGGACATCCCAAAATGAAAAGTAAGACATGTAAAATGGGACGGAGAGAATATTTAGTTATTTACCCAAGTAAATCCTTTTTTTCTATGTTCTAGTTTTAGAGTGACCTTTTGTTCTGGAAAACTATTAGTTTTAGTGTGTAACACTTTGTCTATAATCCTTAAGACATTACCAAATATAGTACCTGGAACTGCTTCCTTTGAGCTGGTGGACATGCGCATCAACCTGCTTGAAATCTACCAGTTGTTGTTGACTGTCAACAGAACAATTATTAGTATTGAATTTTTCAAGTTCCCATTGATTTTCTGAAGTACTCACATTTAAAGAGATACTAATGGAAGGAGAATTAACAAATCTTACAGGGCATTGGCCATATTGTGTAGCAATATCTCAGAATCTTTAAAGAAAAGTGAAACAACTTCAAGTACAAAATCTGGGTTGCTCTGATCTTGCAATTTCTGAAGCTGCAGAAACTGCTCATCCAAAAAGCCCTGTTTTTATTTTCATTTTATCAAACCCATCATCAGAAGTCATTTAAAAAGGAAGCTATAAGCCTATATCTCTGAAATGTAAAAAAAGTTTGTGAAAAAAATTGAAAATGCCACTGACCTCACGATACAGAGAATTCATGAAAGCTACAAATTGGTTTTGCAGTTGGGCTATGAAATCCATGGTCAAACTCTCTGTTTCTTCTTGAGAGATCTTAAATTTGCAGGTTTTAGTTTTACCAGCTACTTCGATCAGTTCCTTTTCCTGTGTATTATAGATAAAAAGGAGACTTTTGAAGTTGAAATTGAAGAGTAGGTTGAAAATGACTTTGATGGTTGTCTATATTTTTAGTACGTGCTTCCTTATATAGACACTGCTCCCTCCCTACCATAAAGTTAGACTTATACGGAGTATTTAAAAAGGGAAAAAGGGCAAATAAACTTGTATAGGAGATGTTGTCCGGCCGTCGCCATTTTGGGCGGTTCCTGGTGATATTTTTTCATGAAATTTTTGACCTTCTTATTCATTAAATCTAGATTATTTATACCAAATTTCAGCTAAAACTTCAATCGGGAAGGCATTCAAATAAATTCTTGAAGATAACAACGCAGTTATCTTCAAGAATTCATTTGAGTGTCTCCTCGATTGAATTGTTAGCTGAAATTTGGTATGAGTAAACTAGACTTAATGAATACGACGCTAAAAAAATTTCATCAAAAAATTATACTAGGAACCTCCCCAAATAGCAACGGTCCGACATAGCCTTCAATATAAGGGCTTATTTGACTCTTTTTGTTAGTATGTAGACTTATTTGTCCCTTTTCCCTGTTTAAAAATAACTTATTTTATACGGAGTAGTTTTATTATACGTAATGGAACAGTTAAAATAAATTGAACAGATATCTATTACGAGTAGTTTACTTATTTGGCAAAAGATGGTATTTATTCAAATAAATATTAAGAATATCTTCAAGATATGATATTTGCCCAAGATCTTAATTAAAATATGACCATTTACTTCCCTATACACGTGTACTATCCATTTACCAATTTCAAGCATAATTACGTTCAAGTTTCAACCACGTCACTAATCTAATGCCAAATTCGAAAGAACATACAGCCTTTAATCTCATCTGGTCTCTTATTACATGTGTGGTTTCGTTTATTAAATTTTGTTTTGTATAAATTTTATTTTACTATTTTAAGTCTACTCTCATATGGTTTAATCATCTCAGTCCAATTAAAAACATCTTAGGATGTTTTTACTTGAAATGTAATTTGTTGGTCCGGTAAGTTCTGTTTAAGTTTGATCTGATCTGGTTAAATCTGGTCCGATCTGGTTTGGTAAACGTCGGGTCTCTGTGTATTTTATAATTACGGAAGCCAAGTGTGATCTGATCTGGTTTGTTTAAGTTTAGTCTGTTTAAGTCTGGTCGGGTATGGTGTGATCTGTTTAGGACTTTAAGTTTGGTCTGGTCTGGAGTGAAAACAATCCAAATAAGATTTTTAGATCCCGAAATTTACAATTAATACAACAATTTAGGAATTCAAAATGTTCACTTTTTACATTTTGAGCTCCTAATTATTTTACTCCGTAGCATTTTAATATCTGGCCACTACAAGTGGCCGGTCCTAGAGATGGCCACTGCATTTTAGCATATAATTAACAGTAACAAGATGATGATGATAATCCATATAATTATAATATGTAGTGGTTTTTTTTTATTGCAATATGTAGTGGTTAATAAGTTAATAACAACAACAATACTCTAAATGATCTTTTGTATTGTTTTAAGTCTCAGACCAGACTAGACCATATTTAAACGTATCAGACTAGACTAGACTTAAATAGACCAAACGAGACCTCCATAATTATAAAATACACAGAGTTTAAACATTTATCAGATCAGACCAGATTCCAACAAAATACTAATTATTATTGTTATTATCACGGAGTATGTTGTTGTGAAAGAAAGATTAAAATTATAAATATATTATTATGGAGTATAAAGTTTGATAAAAGTAGTGTGTCATCATATTTGACCACTAAACAACCTCGAAAGCGTTTAATTTTTCGGCCAAATATGGTCCACCAAAATATGACAATCTTCTGCACATTATGGATTTTCAATATAAGAAATACTCTTGTCTTCTGCAGTATCTCCCATCCAATGAACACTAACATAAGAGATCAGATAGGAAGACAAAATCATTTACTATAATGTATCTGCCTTTTCTCACTTATTTGTTTGATAGTTTTTGATAAATTTGTATCAATAATGTAAAACATTATACATTGTTAAAGATATGGGGTTAAAATATTTATATAGAAGGAAACAATACGTACTTCCCACATATCGCATGTGCATATAGCCATACTCCCTCGGTCCCTAAGTCACATTTGACTTCAAATATATTGATGAAATAAATTTATTGAGGGATAAATTTTACTGTATAGCACACTGTCTTATACTGTTCTGATATGAAAGTGTGACTTTAATTTAGGGACGGAAGGAATACATGTTCTGTACATTAAACATTTTCCCGTAGCTTATCCTCTTTATTTTTAAATGTTAGATAAGAAAAGTCAATAAGATTGAATGTGCTTAGAACTTAGAAGCATCGTAAATAGAGAGCAACCATGCTACATATAGCCAAAATAATGTTAACTTTTCGTCTAAAAGAGAGAAATTAAGGTTGAATAATACTCGTTAATTATCAGTGGTCATGATTCATAGTGATAAAGCAAAAGAGACAGCGTCACAATATGGTGTAGCTAATTAAAGAAAAAAAATCCTACCAAAAGAATTTGATTTTTTCTTTGATCTAGGCATTTCTACATGTCTAGCCATTTCTATGTTCCTTGTTAGACTGAAGATACAACTATTAAATTATGTTATACGGAGTATGTTTTTTCTTCAATTCGCACCTTTATCATTTCCAAAATAAGACACCTAATTGGACTAGTTTCAACATTCAATCATAGGACAGAAAAAGATAAATTAGACCAGACATAAACAGATAAGTCCCACCTAGATATGCAGATGTAAAATAAATTAAAACAAATGTCTATCAGACCAAATTAGATCAATTGAAAGTTTCAATAAAAAAAAAGGAAAAATTGAAAATAATAATCTCAACTATTGCCGGTCCACTAACAATAATCCCAACTATGGATTATTTTTGTATAATCCCAACTATATGGACTCTTCGCCAATAATGGTCCATGACCGGATATTACTTGTTATAACATGTGAAATTTAAATAGAAATTAAGAGTAAAAATTAAAAGTTGGGATTATTTACCTGTTATACCACTTTAGAAACTATAAGAATTTATTTATAGCCGGTCACGTCGAACCATTATTGGCGGAAGGTCCCTAAAGTTGGGATTATTCTAAAATAATCGATAGTTGGGATTATTGTGAGCAGATCGCCAATAGTTGGGATTATTACAATCAATTTTCCTATAAAAAAACAGGAGTATGATAAACAAAACACGGAATCGGCAGAGATTTTTTTCAGGATTTCCCAAAATTGGCAGACATTTTTTGTAGAGATATGCTAAATCCGTATCAAAAACGTTTTGGCATGAGTTATTTGGTACAAAATTATCGATAATCCGTATTGTGTCAATCCTTATTTTTGTAGTGAAATATGAACCACAACTTTGGTTATTGTGAATTAGCGTATCAAGTCACTGAATGCCTGCATAGAGAGTGTGTCCGACCTAAGAAGAACTGTGCTTACCTGTGTGGACAACTAACGTTAGAAAGATAACAAAACATTGCATGAAACACAAGTGGCTTCATCAAATCTCTGATATTGCCAACAATATATACCCCAGACATTCCATCAAATCATAAATTGATACGAATTCATTTCAATAGATAACATTGCACATTATTTATTACTCAGTAAATGCAGTAGCTTACATTTGTACCAAGGGCTTTACGCCACCGAGGCTACCAAACTATTGTGGTTATAAACAATTCTGAAATGGGTAACACAATTCCTTTAGGATAAACGATGATGTTTTTAATTGAATCCCACTTTCATCTCATCCAATTTGATACATGTTATATGTGTATTTTATGAAGTCTGATTATATTTATTTAAGTCAAGCTGGTTCTGATCTGTTTGAATGTGATCTGATTTGGTATGAGACTTAAATAAATTCAAATAAAACTTTGTTGTAATATGTTTGAGTTTCAATATGAATAATGAATTTCAAAAATTCAAAACTAATATCAAGAAATTTACACATATAGTTGTAAAATTACACACAAATATAAAAGTAAGATTGTAATGCACTAATCAAAACTCTTAACTCTTAATATTAAATAACACGTGTGTTTGTTTTAGTTAATTACACCGTAATACATAGTATTAAAAAATAAGAACATGCATAATGATTTATTAAAATGTGATAAGTTCGTCCCATTTGAAATATTGAAATAATACTAAGAAGTTGTCTTAGCTCTAGGCTCCCACCTCTTTAATAACATCAATTATCCGTCAAATCAAATGCCAAAACATGAAATTTGATGGGAATTAGCTACACACATACATGCATGTTCGTGATTCATTGGTGTCTCTCAAGATATTATTAGGCGACCGGTCTGGTTCAAATAAGATTAAGCATGCCATGATGTCAATCCGGCGTTAAACCATTAGGCCGAGCTGTAAATGTTCATGAAATAAGGTCGTTTTCTCTATTTGATTGTGTTATACGGAGTATCGGATTAAAGGATTAAATAGGCCTAACTAAAGGATTACTTTCAAAACTTAGGCCATAACTTAATTTCACACTTTTAATGTCTCAAACAGTACTTATATTGACATGTAGTCCTCATGTTTTCAAATTTGTAAATGTGGTCTTCGATGAATGACATTTAGGGGTGTTTGGATCTGATTCTTAAAATTGGTTCTGCTCCTTCAGGAAGCAGAAACAGAAGTTGGAGTGTTTGGGTGACATTGCAGAAATGAATCTGGTGCTCTGATTTACTCCTAGAATAAGTTTTTTTTAGAAACTGAGGAGACCAACTTCTGAAAACTGATTCTAATTCTACTTCTGTTTTGAAAAAAGAAACAGAAGCAAAATCAGTTCCAAACACCCTTACAATGTGAACGAAAATCGCATTTAAAACAATTCATTGATGGTGATTTACATTCTTGAAAAACATGAGGATTATATTTCAATGCAACATTATTGAGAGATTTAAGTAATAAGGTGGATCATCGCTTCTTGATTGGTTGTCCCATCCAATGATCTTCTAACCCATGAACTAAACGATCATCCAATAAAGGATGATACCGAGGGCTAGGGCTGCGCAAGAATAACCCGAACCCGCATAACCCGCCCGACCCAACCCTACCCGATCACTTTTAATTGGGTATTTGATTTTTAAAAATATTCTCGGGTTAAATATGTACAAACCCACACCTAATGGGTAGGGTTGCAGAATTAAAATCTTAAACTTGATAGTACCCAACCTGGCCGAAAGTTCAATTTATTATATTTATGCTACAAAGTTTTGTTGGATAATTTCTATTTAAGACCGATGTGCTTGATCTAAGAGTATGATGATTTTAGCATTATAAGCATTTACCATTTCGACTAAGTGATTAGTATATATATACACATTTGCTTCTAAACTAATTTCCTTTACGCAAGAATGTTTTGATACTATTGCCTTAAGTTTATTCTTATAAAAAGTACTTGCATTTGTTTGTGTATTTTGGAAACAAGTTAACCGAGATTCATCTTGCATGTGTTAGTTGCACATATTAAATTTTCAACCCGAAATAAATTCCTTTCAATACTCGACCCTACTCGACCCGTTCATGCATGGTTCACCAACTTATATTTCGTAAATAGCCAACCCGAACCCCCCGATGTGCACCCCTACCGAGGGCTCGAGCGCCAGTCAATTGAGAGGATGTAATTGGACTTTGCAAATTGCATCTCACTATGCGGCTTTGCCTATATGGTCTTCATCTTCTTCGCATAATTTCATACTACGTACAATTTAAGGTTCAGCGCTAGGTACTCAGGTGTTGCTAGTCTATACCTTGGGCCGAGCCATGAGGAGAGCAAGTGGATCGGAAGTCAAATTTTAATTGGACCTCAAATTTTCATTAGGCAACTTAAAAATTTGCAAAAACAGTTTGAAATATAACTGTGTAAGGAATTATTTTGGTTAAACTTGGCGTGTGTGCTTTCCTAGGTTGTAGGAAAAGTCGCTGTGTACACACCCGCTTACACAGCGGTGTACACAGCATAAATACCATCCCGTTTTTACTTTTCCCCTTCTTTTTACCCGGCTCCCACCCCATCCCCAATTCCCCCAATCCTCTCTCTCTTTTCCCTACCGCACAAATCATTCGCCACTCCTGGTTTTCTTCCTCAGCCTCTTAGGCTTTTTGCTTTCTTCTCTTCTTCCCCTTTTACTTAATTGATAATTAAATAGAAGGAGATATAGCCATCCAAGTTAGACACGATGAAGTTCGATTACGGGGTGTGCCATCATCGCTAAGTGTGAGAAACGGGGTGGTGGTGGAGGAGCTTCCTCCTCTGGTTCTTTTTCTTTTCTTTCTCTTGGACTCCTTATCTCAAAACAGCAAGCTCATCCCCTGTTTTGCCTCATTACCGGAGAAACCACAAGGTATTAAATCTCTTCCATTAAATCTCTTCTATTTCTCTATTGTGAATTTAGGGTTTGGAATTTGGATTCTGTATGTGAAGTGAAATGATTACTGAATTTTCTTTAGTTTTTAATTCTACTTTATGTTTATTTTTTGTTTGTGAAGTTGCTCATTAAACTACTTGATTTCATGAATTTCTTTTTTACTTAGGAATTAATGTTTACATTTGACTATAATAGTTTTAATTATTAAAATGATTTAAATTTTCTGATTTTTGGTAAATTGTATATGTAGTAATTTTGAATTCTTGACTATTTTGTTTTATTAATGTGGATTTGTGATGTTAATTATTGAAAGTTTAGTTTAAGTATTGTAATTTATTTATGCCCATTACATGTTCGTTGAAATGATTCAATGAGTATCTAGTTCATATCTAAGATTTTAGAGAAGAGGATTTAGTAAGTTGCTTTAAGAATCCATGAAAGTGATATCCTTGAGAAGACTTAAACCGAATGTCTCTTTTGCTTTAAGAATATTTGAAAGTTAAACACTATAATGTGTTTAAAGTGTGATCTCTCATCATTAGACTTTCACACTATATAATTAACTATAACGAATTATAAAATTGTACATGATAAAAGTAGGTTTTATCTTAATTTTATTCAAAACAACTTGATTTTATTTGCTCAGTAGATTTTAACTTTAAAGTATATATTTATATTATGTTCTAGTTCAAGAGTTATAAAAACGAGAAGCTACCAAATATCTCAGTTTAGTTATGATTTCCTTGAGGGGGAAAAATACTAGTCTAATTAAAAAGGAAGTGTACTTGATTAAACTTGCAGGGTGGTAGATTCACCCTTGTGCTATTTATTTAAACTCATCAAGCTTTTATTTTATGTTTATGTTTCTATAAAACTGCAGTTATGGTTCTGTATGGATTGAACATTGACTATATTACTAGGCTTTCCCTTTAAGATGATACTCTTGTATTAGTAAATGCAGTCTTGAAGCAAATGTAGTTTGTTTTGCTTTGTGATTTCGTTGTTGATTAAGCAAGCAAAACATGATGAAAAACTTTGTTGTTCAGCCTCTGAATTCATTAGAAGAGTACGACCAACACGCCTCTTTTGAAGTTGCATAGTAACGTGTTCTGGTTTCATGTTGCTATTGTGAAGTTGGCACTTGGCAATAAAAAAATGTTGATAGGGAAGCCCAATGACCTCCCAGGATGAAGGTGACACCAAGGGAAGGGGGTTATGCAAATGTACATCCATGTTATGCAATTGTATATGTAATTTCGATTGAAAAACTAAATTGTTAATCTTATACTCATTTTGGTGACTTCTTACAAGTAATTTGCATATAATCTATTATTAGATTTGGAGAAAGTAGATACAAATTATGGATGTGTAGCAAATGATGTAATACTATTTCTTATGTTTGCTTCCCCTTTTATGAAATTATGAAAACACAGACATTCATCCGCACAAACAAAATAAACGAACAACAGACAATGTTTCGAATATGAAGAGACAAAATAAACGAATATTTTTTCATTCGTAAAGTGAATTGTCTGTGACAGACAATAAATTGTTTATGACACAACCAATTTTAAAGGTTAAATACACCACATGTTAAATATCAACATCCTTTAAACAAATCTATTTTCATTTGTAATGTCTGTGACACAGACAATAAATTGTTTATGCCACAGACAATTTTAAAGGTGATGGATTACATTTTAAATACACCGCACATTAAATTTCATCATCCTTTAAACAAATATCTTTACATTCGTAAAGTAAACTGTCCGTGACACAGACAATAAATTGTTTATGCCATAGACAACTTTTGCTGGTGTCACAGACAATTCACTTTAAAAAACGAAAAAAATGTTTGTGCACAATCACAACGAGTACGTTTAAACTTGATAGATGATAAAGATAACTAATTATTACATTTAACTATAATAATTTTAATTGTTAATATGATTTATTTTTTCGATTTATAGTAAATTATATATGTAGTAAATCATTGAATGATTCTTTGTCTGTTTCATAGACAATTCACTTTAAAAACGAAAAAATACAGACACTTCAATGGCAAACAGAATAAACTTCAATGGCAAACAGAATAAACATTCAGATATCCTTTTTAGCCAACTAACAATATGGATTAATAACACAAATTTGTTGTACAATATCCAAGTTCATTTTCATAACAGAAAACACACATTGAAGACATTAGCAACTCGAATTACACTATCATTCTAAATACAAGAATATTAACTTTACCATATAGCTAGTTACAAGAATAAAATACTTAGTTATAATGTATTCTAAATCTCTGATTCTCGACTTCCTCAATCCTTGTTCTGCCATCATTCGATTTATCACACGCCTCTTTTGAAGGTTCATTATCTTCACCATGCAAAGAGCGTAAGTAGTTCTTGCCAACTATCAACAATTGAATGTTCAATCGCAAAGGGCGTAATAACATTATAATAAATCAAATCAAAAGGATTACAAATTACAATATAAAATAAGCTCAATAAATAATAAGAAAACATGCACAACTCAATATGAATAATTCTGACTATATAAATAAAAACAGACCACATTGAAATATAGAAAGAACAACTAAACCTAAAGAAGATAGAACAACACACTTTCAACAATACACACTCATAAAACATACATAAGATCCAACCATACTATTGAGGTTATCTCAATGGTACAAAAGCCTAAAGGTTTCAAAGTTTAACATGACCATTTCATAATATTCAAATTAACATTAATAAATACTATGCAGTACTCCTTATTAAGTAGAATAAAAAGTAATATAAAAACCATTGCAGCTATTAAACTTGAATGATCAAATAAAATAGTCAAACAAATTAAACCACAATCTAACACAATTTAAGCTGGAAAAGTGAAAAATAATATTTAAAATCCAGCAAAGATACAAACATATAAACAGAAGAGGAGAATAATTACAAAAAAAACATGATTTGAAACAAAAGCATTCATTAAAGCATTTCAACAAACACCTTATAGGCATAAAAGTGAAATACAATAGTTGAATAAAAATTAAAATTATAATCATCACAAATCCATACTAATAACATGGATGGTGTAAAAAACATCTAACTAAAATAGTGAAAATTATAATTCCTATAACATTTTTTTAACCAACCATAAATTTGTAACAATGGAACTAAAATAGAGACAAGTCCATTGATCCATCTTAGTAATTTCCACCCCTGCAAAACAGTAAGTCAGTAACAAAACTAACTAGCAGCATAGTAAGGAAATTGAAACCTCAATCGTCTTGGACTTGGGCTGAGGAGGAAGCTCCTCCTCCACCACCCCGTTCTCACACTTATGATGGCCGGCATGAAAAAAAGGGATCCAAGAACCGAAGTTTGTTTCATATGGCTATATCCCTATTATTTCATTATCAATAAATTAAAAAGGGAAGAAGAGAAGAAATCTAACCGAAGGCGAGAGGAAGAAGAGGCGGAGGAAGAAAACCAGAAGGAGGGGCGAATGATTTGTGCGGTAGGGAAAAGAGGAAAGAGAGAGAGGATTGGGGGAATTGGGGATGGGGTGGGAGCCGGGTAAAAAGAAGGGGAAAAGTAAAAACGGGGGATAGTATTTATGCTGTGTACACCGCTGTGTAAGCGGGTGTGTACACAGCGACTTTTCCTTAAAAAAACTGAAGAATACAAAAATAACCTCAAAATGTTATTGAATTCCCTCCATCCCGCATATTATATTGGAGCAATTTCGGCCGAGCGGTCTTCAGCTTTTCCATGTTTGGGCTTCCACCTCGCATTTTTTTTGGGCCTCAATACTGGAAATGTTCGGTTAATATCCCATCCCAAAAATATGTATGTGATTTTTTTTATCATCAAATCCAACGAATATATTAAATCAAAATAACGTTCGTCACATGGCTGATATCACAATCCAAGAAAAAAAGTAAACAAAACGATAAAAAGCTCATGTTTGTTGTCTGCCCTTAGAATATATCACCTCTGTAGAAGCAATAATATTTGTTGATCCTGTAATGGACTTAGGGAGTGTTTGCAACTGCTTCTGCTTAAAAAAAGCACTTTTGGAGTAAAAATTGGAAGTGTTTGGCAAATAAGTGTTTTTTTAAACCAAAGGCTGAGAAGTGCTTTTTTAAGCTGTTGCAAACACTCCCTTAACTGAGTCAATGACTAACAAACCAGACTTCTCATCACCTGACTTAAAAACTAGAATCTCTCTGCTAGGAAATAAGAACGCGTCCAAAACAACATGCAATTCGAAAGAAAAACACAAACGGAAAAAAACGGGATTAAAACATAGTTCACTCATCTTCTTCCAAACCCTTGTCTTGCTTGCACTCCATGGCGGCGGTTCAGGAGGGGGACGCGCCTGCCGCTCATCCGCCTCAATAGTCATGCTTTTGTATTGAATGATGATATCCTCTTTTGACATCCCTTGCTGCTGAATCGAAACCATACTCTGGCTTGAAAACATACTTAAGCAAATTGCAACTTCGGTTTCTTCAACAACCGTGATAAGACTGCAAACGAGCTCGAAACACTCCTCCTTCAAAGCCGGGAAAAACAGAAAGAAAACGAACACCGACGCCGTGATCAAATTGATCACCGTCGGACAATCCAAGCTAGGCATTACCTTGCGGCAACCTTTGTGAGAAAAAGAAACCGAAGTTGCAATTTGCTAATAGAAACCCTAGCAGTTTTTTAAAAAAATGTACGTAATAGAAATCCTATTTGTACCCACCATTTATATTTTATACTAAGCGAAAGGTGAGTTTTTTATTTATGGATCTCGTTTAATGACAAAACCTGTCTTATTTTACATGTGGAAATACATTAGGCGGTATAAGGTGTACAAGTAACAAAATTGTTCAATAGTAATATTCCTTTCGTCAGTGATCAATCATAAATTCTTAACCTGAACATTACTTATGAGGAAGATTAAATGTGATGATATTCGTGGATCAGAGAAAGTTTGTGAGATTTACTTAAATTCATGGTCAAAATTTTACTTTTTCTTACTAGATTTACTCAAATAATTCAAATGTGCAATTAGATTCGACATTTTAATTTTTAAATATCACATATAGAAAGGTCGTCAAAAAATATCACATATAGAAACTTGCACTCCTTATGACAGCTTCAATAGAACTCCAAATCGCTCGGCGCTCCTACAACAAATATCCTTGGTCAGTTCTTTCGTAGTTGCAATATATTGTTGCCAACAGACGATATTGATCATCCTTATATCTAATTCTCTATTAATAAAAGAATAAAAGTTAGATTATGAAAATGTGTAATGAGTCGAATTCGATAGTACTTTAAAAAAAATCTCATACATTAATATAAATAAAATGTAGTTAAAGTAAATCACATGTAAAAAAAATCCATGCTAGCTCGAACTAAAAACAAATGAAGGATATATACTACGGCTTCCGTCTCACTAACATTAGAATATGAACAAGTAGTGCGTTTATTAAAAAAAATTGTTTATGTGATTGATACTGAATTGATAAAATAAAAATAGTGTAAGAATCATTTAGAACAAAAATGGGGTTATTGTTCTCATAGGACATAGTGAGTGTACATTCATACCATAGATGATTAAGAATGGGTTCGGTAGCTCAATATGGTCTTTTCTGCTTTAGAGCCCGTTTGGTAGCAACAAAATCGGTTGTTTTGGCTGATTCTGCTGAAATTTATGATATTCTGGCTGGAGTGGCTGTTTTGGCTGATTCTGCTGATTTAAGAAAAAAATATTTTAAAAATATATTTTATTAATAAATTAAAGAAAAAATTATATGTAAAAATAGCTAAAATGGTCCTCTACAGTAACTTCAGCCAATACAGCCAGAAAAGTAACTCCAACCTTACTTTTTCGGCTTATTACACAATTCAGCGCGCGAAAGTAAAAGTTACGTGTTTGGTGAAAAAGCTGGATGATAAGCCTGATAAGCCGAAAACAGAGTTCTCCAAACGGGCTCTTAGTATTTGCATACTAAGTCAAATAACAACCCGATTGAGTAGCTTTGGGGGTATTTCAATTTGACAACGACCAATATATATGGCTTTACTTAGGATCTGTTTGCAACAACTTCTACTTTAAAAAATGTTTTTTTAATGAAACTGGGAGAAGAAATTAAATAAAAGTTGATAGTGTTTGAGAAAAAAAGTGATTTTGAAAAGTAAAAGTTGGTAGTGTTTGGTAAAATAAGTTTTTTGTGTAATAGAAAAAGTAAAGGCACTTTTGACAGGAAAGCCGAGAAAAAAAAAGTTGGTAGTGTTTAGTAAAACAAGTGCTTTTTAAGCCAAAAACTTAAAATTGCTTTTTTAAAGCATTTGCAAACCAACTCTTAGTAACGTGTTTTTCTTTGAGGGGTAATGACTTATCGATCATTTTTAGTTGATTTGGCCATTCAAAATAGATGTTTGGTATGTAAAATAGCTTTTCAATATAATTTCTTTACCAAAAGCCAATTCAAACCACGTTGTTCATATTAGCGTTTGGAATCAGATCGATCGTTAGAGCATCTTCGATTCAAAAGTGTCAACGATGCACGTGTGGCAACGGAGTTATAGATACAAAAACAATTAATTAATAAAAAGTCTCACACATTCTTTTCAAGTAGTAATAAAATTTAAGTTGTTTTATGTCAAGCACATCGTCTAGATCTTGACAATGTTTGACCTTGTGTATAAAAAGTTGTCAAAATTAGTTACACCGTAGAAAGGATGTGAGAGACTTTCAATTAATTATATTTTTTTGTAACTGCAACGTAAACTTTGAACACAATAATAGTAAAATACAATGTAAACTTTGAACATAATTATAGTAATTAATAGTTAATAGGTCACATTTTTTCATGATTTTTATATTAGTACGTAGTTAAATTTAAGGGAAAAAAATGTGATTATAATTGTGTTTAAATTTTACATCATAATAACTACAAGTAGTCACTACGATGTAGACTTTGAAGAAAATCATAGTAACTCATAGTTTTAGAACTACATTTTTATCCATCACTTTTACAGAAATAATATTAATGGAATTATTTAAAATAACAATTGAATCTAACTTATATAATGAAATAACTTTTTGGTAAATCAATTTTTAGAATTTAAATATTTGATATAGTGAAACTCTAAGTATGTGATAATTAAATTGAACTATCATATATCATATAATGAGTTCGATAAATTCACATATGTTTTACATGTAATGTTGATATTTTAACATCTAATCACAAACATCTAATATTTTCAAACACTTAAAGCTAGAGAATCAACAAACCAAATCCGGCACTCAAAACCGCTAAAACAATCAGTCAAATTTGCTAATTCGACCATCCAATCCAATCGCTAACCGGTGATCCTAAGTCCTAACAGGTGATTAACAAACATGGTCGATCATAGCTTTTGATTAAGAGCGGCTACCTTGTGCTGACTCATACAGATTAAATAATTTTGTTGGGGGAACTAAACAGATTTTATAATTAGGAGCCTTTTCCTTCTTTCTACTACAATTTGTGCATTTCTTATTTATCAAACTCATTAATACTGCAACGGATCGGAATAAGCTAGCTATCCTAGCTAACACTACGACATGCATGATGAAATTTGTGGTTTAAACACAATAAATTGAATTAAGAGGTGTAAATAGACGCCGAGTCCGAAATCTACTCTCTCCCTCACAAGCTACCAACCAACAACTGTCCTTCCTAATTAACCATCTATTTATTGTGTGATCAATGATTTGTAACCGGCACCTCCTAAACCTTCTCTTAACCAGCCTTCAATGGCTGCTTCTCCTCCTTTTTCCAACCCTTGTCATTCTAAAATGCAGCTTAGAGCAGCAGGATGGCCGCCATTTGGAGATTTCCTTCCATTCTTCCTCTACTCATCGGCCTCCTGTCTCTCTTTCCCACCCACCCAACCACCTTGATTGTCGCTGCCAATGCCCCCGCCGCCGCCCTCTCTGATGACGGCGACCTCCCCTTGTTCCGCGAAGCCCCCGCGTTTCGCAACGGAGACGCATGCAATGACACAAACCTCATCCACATTGCCATGACCCTCGACGAGAACTACATAAGAGGGACAATGGCAGCCGTGTTTTCCATCATTCAGCACTCGACGTGCCCGGAAAACGTCGTGTTCCATTTCCTGTGGGCCCACCACCACCCGGAGGTCTTCTCCATCATTAATTCCACCTTCCCATACCTCAGATTTAACGTCTACCGCTTTGACACCACAAAGGTCCAAGGGCTGATATCCAAATCAATACGGCAAGCTCTAGACCAGCCGTTGAACTACGCAAGGGTCTACCTCGCAGACATACTTCCAGCGGATGTGAAACGTGTGATATACCTCGACTCCGACCTCGTCGTGGTGGATGACATCATGAAGCTGTGGGAAGTGGACAACGGAGAGAGGGTTTTGGCCGCGCCGGAATATTGTCATGCAAACTTTACCGTTTACTTCACAGACGAGTTCTGGTCAGACCGGAAACTGGTCGACGCATTCGAAGAAGGGAAAAAGAAGACCGCGTCGTGGAAGCCATGTTACTTCAACACCGGGGTGATGGTCGTGGACGTGGAGAAATGGAGAGAAGGAGGATATACAGAGAGAGTGGAGGAGTGGATGTTAGTGCAAAAACAAAAGAGGATATACCACCTCGGCTCTTTGCCACCTTTCTTGCTGGTCTTTGCCG